GGGTAGAGGACAGCAGGCAGAGAGGAATTCCTGGAATGGTCTTTCAGGTGGCCCTGTTGGGTCTTGGGAACCTGGAAAGAATGGGATGGAGTATGAAGGCAATAGGGTGTGGACCAAATTGAGATTCAAAGGCAGGGAATAAATTCCATTGTTTATCTATCTTTTGGACAATGAGTGAGAATGGCTGAGGCTTGTCTTTGTTCCATCAATTATACCCTAAGGTTACCTAAGGAGAGAAGCAATATTGCTTGATTCAGTCTATCAGTCAATCACTGAGGTGGCATCTGGGCAGAAACAATGAACCAAAAGAAAAATTACAGTAAAGAGAAAAAACTACATTTAATGGCAATTCAAAGGACTAAATAGAAAGAGGCAAATAGAAACAATCTGGAGGAGGAAGAATGGGATTCAGCAATACCTTTTGGGTTGTATGAGACCTGCTTATGCATCTGCCTGTTGGCTAGAGTCCCTCACAGGCAGCACAACCATGTCCCCTTTTTCCTGAATTACATCAGCAATACCCTCCGAATTTGTCTTCCTGTTTCCCATTTCTCTCTCCTGCAATACAGTCTCCTGACTACAAGCCAGAGTAATCTTTTTAAAATGAAATGGGGGGGGGGGGGGACTGGTACTATGACATAGCAGGAAAAGCCGCCGCCTGCAGTGCCAGCATCCCACATGGGCACCGGTTCAAGTCCTGGCTGCTCCACTTCCCATCCAGCTCTCTGCTATGGCCTGGGAAGGCAGTGAAAAATGGCCCAAGTCCTCCAGCTGTTGTGGCCAGTTGGAGAGTGAACCAAGCAGATGGAAGACCTCTCTTTCTCTCTGCTTCTCCTTCTCTCTCTGTGTAACTCTGACTTTCAAGTAAATAAATAAATCTTTAAAAAAATGAAATCTGGGGGCCAGTGCTGTGGTGTAGCTGGCCAATCATGTCCCAGAAGCTCCACTTTGAATCCAGCTCCCTGCTAATGCACCTGGGAAAGCTGCAGAGGATGGTCCAATGGCTTGGGCTGCTGCACCCATGTGCATGACCCTGAAGCAGCTCCTGGCTTCAGCCTGGCCTAGCCTTTGCTGTTATGGCCATTTTGGGAGTGAACCAGGGGATGGAAAATCTGTCCCCCTCTGTCTCTCCATCTCTCTCTCTCTCTGTAATTCTGCCTTTCAATAAATAAAATACATCTTTAAAAAAAATGAAATCTGGGGGCTGGCATTGTGGTGTAGCGGATGAAGCCACCACCTGTGATGCCAACATTCCATATGGGCGCCAGTTTGAATCTCGGCTGCTCCACTTCTGATACAGCCCCCTGGTAATGGCCCCTGCACCCAGGTGGGAAACCAGGAAGAAGCCCCTGGCTCCTGGCTTCGGATCAGCCCTGGCCATGTGGCCATCTGGAGAGTGAACCAGCAGATGGAAGACCTCTCTTTCTGTCTCTCCCTTTCTCTCTGTAACTCTGCTTTTCAAATAAATAATAAATAGGACTTTTAAAAATGAAATCTGATTACTTATTCCACTCCTTAAAAAGGATCTCTTCTCCATCAGCCTTGAGTCCAGTCAGTAGGCCCTTTGTCTTCCTCTTCAACATTGGCCATTTCTTTTTTGTCCCCCACTCCATGCGAAAGTCACACTCATCCTATCTTAGAAGCCCCTCAACCAGCCAACCCTGCAACTTTTCCCTCTCATCTGGTCCTGGGGAGTTCTCCCCTCTGCCCCCTGACCCCACAGTGAACTCCAATCTCCCTCTCCTGGGCACTAACTGCAAAGGCCAGAGTGATCTAGTTCACAGGGATGCACAGTTCCTCCTTGAAACCTGGGAGACAGGGACATCTATTGTGGAGCCTGCTCTGTTCTGTCCTACACTGGAGGAGACCTGGCTTAGACTCAGAGCCTAGAGAGGGTCCTGAAGTCCTTCTGTTTGGATTTGAGAGAGAGAGAGAGAGAGAGAGAGATTGACTGCTTCCCCAGGGTGAGACAATCCTCCTGGCTCTCCCCAAAGGCACAGGTTCGCGGAGGCGTAGGCTCTGCTTGCTGAGCCTGGTATTAAAGTCTTTTTGTCTTATTGTTTTGTTTTTTGCCAACCTGGACAATTTCCAACTATTACCGGAGTCAGTAACTTACATGACTCATTCTGAAGGCAGATGGATGTGACTTTTGCTTCATTTGTTATTATTTGACTGGGAAAAAAACAAGAACAGATATTCTTGTCCTACTAAGCATCGTTCCCTCCATTAGTGTTAATAATTCAGAGCTGGTTCCAAGGCTCCTTGGGGGCTTTAATCCATGACCTGAGCATTATTTACTACTAGCTGCCTGGCATATACCTTAATTCTCCATGGATAGTAGGATTAAACTATGAAGGAGAAAATTGACCAGTGTTCATAAATTTCCTTACCCACCCCAAAATGAACTGGTAACGTCTTAGCATATTTCCTTCTGGTTCGTCTTAATCATATTGTGTGATCTTGGACCTTCTTTTCTTTTTCCACTGTACTCTCTTTGGTGGTTTTATCCATGCTTATGACTTTTATTACCACCACTAAGGTGGCCTTTTAGCACACATCTCTGCTCCTAGCATCAGATTTCCCAGCCCTGACATCCCAATCTTGCTTCTCTGCAACCATTTTGGTAAATGACCATCACCATCTGCCCTGTTAATATCAGATACTTAGAGTCATCCATAATGATTTCCTGTTTCCTCAATGCCTCCCCAGCCCTTCCCCATCTGTCTTAGTTCATTAAGACTGCGATAAAAATACCATAAAGCAGCTAGCTCATAAACAACAGAAATTTATTTCTTGCAGGTCTGAAAGCTCAAGGTACTGGCAGTTTTGGTGTTTTGTGAGGACCCATCACCACCAGTTTCCTGGTTTGTAAATGGGACCTTCTCACTTGCCCTCCACATACTGAAAGGGACCTTTATAAAGGCACGAATCAAGGCTGGCATTGTGGCATTGGAGGTTAAGCCTCTGCCTGCAACTGGCATCCCATACGGGTGCCAGTTTGAATTCTGGCTGTCCCATTTCCGATCCAGTTCCCTACTAATTTGCCTGGGAAACCAGTGGAAGATCACCCAAGTACTTAAACCCCTGCACCCATGTGGGAGAACCAGAAGCTCCATTGCAGCCACTGTGGCTCTTTCAGGAGTGAACCAGTGGATAAAAGATCTCTGTCCCCCCATATCACTATAAATAACAAATTAATAAATATAAAAGCATAAATCCCATTCATGCGGCCTCTGTTCTCCTGACCCAATTGCCTCCCAAAGGTCATTACATTCAGAGTTAAAATTTCTTTTCTTTTTTTTTTTTAAGATTTATTTTATTTATTTTAAAGACAGAGTTACAGAGAGAGGTAGAGCCATCCACTGGTTCACTCCCCAGATGGCCGCAATGGCTGGAGCTGCGCCAATCCGAAGCCCACGTGGGTGCAGGGGCCCAAGGACTTGGGCCATCTTCTACTGCTTTCCCAGGCCATAGCAGAGAGCTGGATCAGAAGAGGAACAGCCGGGACTAGAACCGGCGCCCATATGGGATGCTGGCGCTTCAGGCCAGGGCTTTAACCCGCTGCGCCACAGCGCTGGCCCACGGAGTTAAGATTTCAACACATAAATTTTAGGAGGACACAAATATTCAGACTGTAGCACCATCTGAATCATTAATAAACGCTATCCAGGCTACCTGGTATATACATTTAGCAATGGTTCCTTCCTCCCCATGTCTGCTGTTGGCATGCTAATCCAAACCTTCCCCACCTTCCCCCACCCTCCCCCACCCTCCCCCACCCTCCCCCACCCCGCCTGCTCCCACAGCCCTGTTGGTATGTATTTCTATACTTATAGCTCCCCAGTCTTTTAATGGATTCAAAGGCCCTGCCTTCTTTGGCTCTTCATTTCATAGCCCTTAAATGCCTGAACTCTTGCCCCTCTTTGTGCCCCTAGATACACGCATATCAAGCTCTTCCCTCCCCCGCCCCACCTTGTGCTTAATGGTCTCTTCTTTTCCTGAAAGTATTTTCCTTTCAGGATTTTCCCTCAGCTCCTCCCATAACCCTTTTCTTTTCCTCCCTTCAGCTCTGATTTCTAAAGTCACTGCTTCAGATAGACCTTGCTTGAGGTCCCAGTCAAATTCAGTCTCCCTAATACTGTCCACTAAAGCATGTAGTTCACTTCCTTCCTGACATCAACCATAGGGTGCAATTATTGTACTTGTTAATTGCATTTAACTTTGTCCTTTAATTTAAAAGGAATTAAATTTTAAAATCATTTTGCAATCTCCCCTCCCCCATTAGTAGCACAGGCAGGTAAAACACGGTCTGCCTCATTAAATTTGACTTTCAGATACACAACAATTTTTATATACGATGTTTGGGACATATTTATACTAAAAAGCAATATTTGCTAAATCTGGCAATCTCAGGCACTTCGCCCTTGTCTCAATTGCTCTGGATTGTATTTTCATGGCCTAGTTCAGTCTGCCATTTATTTAGTATGTGCTAATTGTTCTATAGGAACTGTTTGCTGTTTTGTACGTTTTTTCTCCTCATCTGACATCTATTTATCCGAATTTCCTTCCTTCATTAAACATTCTTGCTTAAGACAATGTTGGGAAACATTTTTTTACCTATTGTTTTCCATTTCTGCAAAATTGGCATAGGAGTATGCACCCTCATCACGTTATTCTGAGAATTAAGAGTTAATAGCAAAGTAAAAGTAAAATTTTGTACCGTATCCAGCCCATTAGGCCGGTCACTAAATTTCAGTTCTTTATTAAATGAAGCCTGTTCACCATTTCAGCAGAAAGAAAAACGCGCGTTTGGGGAAAACGGGTGGGGGAGGGAAAACGGTTAGAAACGGGCGCGGGCCAGAACGCGGAGGGCCCGGGGGTGGGGCGGGGCTAAGAGTGAATGACAGGAGAGACAGCCAGTGGAGAGGCTGGGAACCGCTCCCCCCTCCCTTCGCGTTTCAAATTCTAAGCTTCGTTTCCATCCGGGTCCTTCAGCCTCGTTCCCGGGCAGTATAAAGTTTGCTGTCTCCTTTGTTCGCCCTCGTTGCGCAGTAGTGCAGTCAGCTTCCCGGTTGTGGGCTCAGGCGTGCGGCTTTCACTCGTGTTGAGCTGCTGGGAATTCCTTGCCGGCGAGCTCGAAGGAGCTTACGACCGTCGTCACCCCTGCGGTACGTGAAGGCTTTCCGCAGCCCGTTTTCCGCACGCTCTTGCCACGTTAGAACTTGGGATTATCTCCCTGGGGATGAGGGTGGCGGGCGCCATTTTAAGAACCCAAAGGTGCCGACCTATTTAAATAAAGCCGGGAAGGAGCAAGCGAAGGGAAACGGCAGGCGCGTTTCATTGTGTGGCTCTTGAGAAAGTTTGGTCGTCGCCTGCAGGAGCGGGGGCGGAGGTCGGGGCTTTGTTGGGCTGGGCGGGACGAGCCACCGCGGTACCTGCATTGAGATGGTACTGGCGCTCATGACGAGCATGTGGACTCCTGTGTGGGCTCCTTGTCCATTGGCGGCCCCAGACAGGAAATCTTTGAATTGCCCAGCCAGTACCGATGGTAAAAGTTAGTACCCTGACTGGTGTCGGTTGTTCTGGGCTGAATCCAAGTGTCGCCATTTTGTCTTTTGCACGCGGTTTTAATGACGAGTTTTAATTAGCTTCTGCTGCAGTCGTGGAGTGATGGGTGTTGCAGTGTGCGCTTCCACGGCCCGTTACTTAATGCCAAACGAGGTTGACACTTTATTTTAGTGGCATAGGAGCCTTTTCGGCGGGGCGGGGCCTGGTAAAGGATAACTTGTCTCAAACTTAAGATTTCTGCTTAGACTTAGAATCCTAATGAGAAAGACGAGTCCCTTGGAAGAGGACTTGGCGTTAAGGTCCTGGGTCTGGCCTGTGACCTTGACTGGTCCGGTAGTCTTAAAATCCATCCTGGGGGATAAGATTGAGATAAGTAATTGAATCTTTAAAAGTTAATTAAAACCTAGGATTAAAACAATAATTTGCTTTTTCAAATGCTGAGTAGCTGTTAATTGATGCAAAACAGCCGAAAAGGATTAAGGGTAATGTTGAAAGTTAAAAGTTGGCCCCTGGTCTGATGTAAATTGCGCTGTTACTGAACTGCTTAACTGAAATTGGATTCCTGCTGTGTTTGATGCCAGAAAGATTGTTCTCGATGTCTTCGGTTATTAAGGAATAATTTATTTAAGGTAAAACAAAATATGCCACCCCAAATGTGTCCTATTAACTTGAACTGTTTCCAGGGGGTAACACTTTTTGGTTTTCAACAGATTCACTGGGGTAAAAAAAATGGTTGAAGCAGATCGCCCAGGAAAGCTCTTCATTGGTGGGCTTAATACAGAAACAAATGAGAAAGCCCTTGAAGCAGTATTTGGCAAATATGGACGAATAGTGGAGGGTGAGTTATCTGAAAGTATATACTGGACTATTAACATTAAAAGATAAGCTATGATGAATTTAATTGCATTGATCATTTGACATGATTAATTATTTTGTCCTCTAAGAAGTTCTGAGCTTTCTCTTTACAGATTTACTTTTGTCATTTTATTGGACCCTAGAGTAACACTTTCTTTGAAAACTATTTTTCAGTACTCTTGATGAAAGACCGTGAAACCAACAAATCAAGAGGTTTTGCTTTTGTCACCTTTGAAAGCCCAGCAGATGCTAAGGATGCTGCCAGAGACATGAATGGAAAGGTGAGACTGTCTGCACAATGGATGATACTGTGTTTCCTGATGCATAAAATAGCACTTATCCAGATTTGGTCCAGGGAAGCTTTTAAAATTTTGAGTCTGTATTCTGTAATTCACCACATTTTGTAGCCAAAGCTATGAGTTCTATTCTCAGTATAGATATATTTTGGGATCCATAAACCATAGTTGGGTAACTTTGGTTATTAGTTTTTGACAAGCTAATAACCCACTTGATTTTGTTTTATGTTTACTAAGCGCCACTTCGGAGGATCTACCTTATTCTTTGGTTCATATCATATTCTTTGAATAGATGTTTAAGTAAATGAAAAAGGTCCCATTAATAGTAATACTGTGTCTTTGTAGACTAATTGGTGGGCGTAACATACCTATTACTGTGTTTTGAAGGATCTTTCTGTCCTTTGTAGGTGAATAGTAGATCTGCAAGTTCTTGTAAAATCTTGGTATAACTCAGTGAATTGGATTTATTTTTTTTTTTTAAGTCCTTGGATGGGAAAGCCATCAAGGTGGAACAGGCTACCAAGCCATCATTTGAAAGTGGTAGGCGTGGACCACCTCCACCTCCACGAAGCAGAGGCCCACCAAGAGGTCTTCGGGGAGGAAGAGGAGGAAGTGGAGGAACTCGAGGACCTCCCTCACGTGGAGGGCACATGGGTAATGACTAGTGGAATATGGGGCTTGGTGTGTTAGCTTTGGCTAAGTCCTTTTTGAGATTTTGAGATTGAGAACACTTGTTCATCTACTGAACTAGTTGGGATTTAAAAAGAAAACATGGAAAGCATCCCAAGTTACTGTTAATTTAAGTGGTGAAGCATAGACTAGGTGATTCATTCTAGGAAAAGACAAAGTACCATTTTCTTTTTGATAGGCATTGGGCATATGAAAATGAAACCATTTGTATTTTTCTTTGAAGTACTATTTTTTAAAGATCTATTTATTTATTTATTTGAAAGGCAGAGTTATAAGAGGCAGAGAGAGGGGTCTTGCATCCTCTGGTTCACTCCCCAGATGGCTACAATGACCAGAGAGCTCCAAAGCCAGGAGCTTCTGGGTCTCCCACGTGGGTGCAGGGGCCCAAGCACTTGGGCCATCTTCTGCTTTCCCAAGGCCACAGCAGAGAGCTGGATCAGAAGGGGAGCAGCCAGGACTTTTAAGACTACTGTTTTTCTATTTTCCCAGTCTATGTGACTTCTCATATTCAAGTCTTAGAACTGATCAATGGAGCTAGACTCCCACAACTAAACAAAATTATCATATTCTTGAAGAAGCAAGAAAACTTAGTTTTTTCTTGTTTCTTATGAATGCTAACATATTCTTTCTTTTATTCTAATGTAGATGATGGTGGCTATTCCATGAATTTTAACATGAGTTCTTCCAGGGGACCGCTTCCAGTAAAAAGAGGACCACCACCACGAAGTGGGGGTCCTCCTCCTAAAAGATCAGCCCCTTCAGGACCAGTTCGCAGCAGCAGTGGAATGGGAGGAAGAGGTAAATGCTCCTTGAATAACAGTCTGTGCTACCTCCATTAAACAGTTGAGGATGCCTAAATTTGACTTAGGGACTCCAGGTGACTTACATATATAAAATTAATGAATACTTAAATAGAAGGTAGAAAATTTCTTGGATCTAGCTACATGCTATGTTTGAATCAGTCGTGTTCACAACCTGAATGTAAACTCCTAATTAACTTTTCTGTTTAGCTGTATTTTAAAAATGGTTATTTTTCCTTAAGCCCCTGTATCACGTGGAAGAGACAGTTACGGAGGCCCACCTCGGAGGGAGCCCCTGCCTTCTCGCAGAGATGTTTATTTGTCCCCAAGAGATGATGGATACTCTACTAAAGACAGGTAACTGAACATTGCAGCTTCATTAATAATTAAGTTTGAAGGAGAGCTTATCAAGAGCATGAACCAAATTCACTTTTGTTTCTATAGCTATTCAAGCAGAGATTACCCGAGTTCTCGTGATACAAGAGATTATGCACCACCACCAAGAGACTATACCTACCGTGATTATGGTCATTCCAGTTCACGTGATGACTATCCATCAAGAGGCTATAGGTAAGTGACTGCCTGTGCAGCTTGATTATTTAAGAAAAAATGCTGTAATCATTGACGTTCTGGGACTTAGGCATTTTCTCTTTGATTTAGTGATAGAGATGGATATGGTCGTGATCGGGACTATTCAGATCATCCAAGTGGAGGTTCCTACCGAGATTCCTATGAGAGTTATGGTAAGATACCTGGTTAAGGGTCTTTAATATCACCAGCTTGAGTTTTTAGGTTCATGAGCCAGTTTATTTAGGCTGTGTGGTGCTTGCTTTTAAAGGGACGTTTGCTTGCTCTTAAAGGGGTAACATCAGCTGGGCTTTTCCTAGTTTTGTGAGGGGCTTTTGTTTTTTCTAAGTTTTTTTTTTTTGAGGCTGTTTGCTTGCTTTGGAGGGGATTTTGCTTGCTTAAATTGGCAGCCTTATGTGTTTTCCCCCAACAGTGAAAATACAATTTAAAAATTTTATTAACAAGATCAAATGTTTACCATTGCAATATGAAGGAAAGTCTACAGTTCAAAAATTGCAACTTATCACTGGAAAGTGGCTGAGTGTCTACTATAAAATAACAAGCTCTCTGGAATATCCTCTTGAAATACACACCGTCTTCAGTCTTTTCAAACAAACATTAAAATCAATCCATTTCCGTATCTCAGCAGATGAGCAAATCCCTGTTATGGCCAGCAATGGCAGAGTTTAAAACCTCCCAGTAGACAAAGTAAACTTTTAATACAAGAATTCTGTAAATTCAAATTTAAATGTTGTATATATACAATTTATAGTGTTGCCATATTACCTGACCATTGACCCTGCAGGTAACTCACGTAGTGCTCCACCTACACGAGGGCCCCCGCCATCTTATGGTGGAAGCAGTCGCTATGATGATTACAGCAGCTCACGTGACGGATATGGTGGAAGTCGAGACAGTTACTCAAGCAGCCGAAGTGATCTCTACTCAAGTGGTCGCGATCGGGTTGGCAGACAAGAAAGAGGGCTTCCTCCTTCTATGGAAAGGGGGTACCCTCCTCCACGTGATTCCTACAGCAGTTCAAGCCGCGGAGCACCAAGAGGTGGTGGCCGTGGAGGAAACCGATCTGATAGAGGGGGAGGCAGAAGCAGATACTAGAAACAAACAAAACTTTGGACCAAAATCCCTGTTCAAAGAAACAAACAAAGTGGAAACTATTCTGTCATAACTACCCAAGGACTACTAAAAGGAAAAATTGTGTTACTTTTTTTTTTAAGTTTCCTGTTAAGTTCCCCCTCCATAATTTTTATGTTCTTGTGAGGAAAAAAGTAAACCATGTTTAATTTTATTTGATTTTATGACATTGCTTTCAACAAGCAAATGTTAAATGTGTAAGACTTGACTTGTTGTATTAGTGTTGTAATTTTCCAAGTAAAAGTTTCCCTGAAAGGCCACAACCTATCTGATTTTTTTTTTTCCCAGTAAATGAGGCAAGCAATTCTAAGACCTTCCACAAACATCTAGCCACCTAGTTATCCATTGATGTCCATTGAGAAATGACTCATTCTACCCATACCAACAAGCTAGCTATTAGAGGGTGGTTGGGGTATGCTACTCTTAGGATTTCAGGATTTCTTCAAACTGAAATCTCAAATGTTCTCAGTATGAAAAACCTGAGATCAGATGCCTATGTAAAGAAAGTGCTATTCACCCAGTAAACCCAAAGAAAGCAAATGGATAATGCTGGCCATATTTTGCCTTTCTGACATTTCCTTGGGAATCTGCAAGAACCTCCCCTTTCCCCTCCCCCAATAAGACCATTTAAGTGTGTGTTAAACAACTACAGAATACTAAATAAAAAGTTTGGCCAAAACCAACCATGAAGCTGCAAACGATGCTTGCTCTTACTGTTTCAAATTTTTGCAACTCTGTAGTGTCTCACTTTTAAAGGAACAGCTTGATTGCAAAGGAGAAAATAGATAAGCAATGAAGTTATCTCCAACTTCCTAAAGGCTTATGACTTCTAAAAAGTGAATCTATCAGCATTCCACATCAGATATAAAGCACCAAATGCCTGTGAAACAGCAAAGATGGTAAGCAAAGCAAACTAGTTTTTCCGTCTAAGTCGAAATTGAACACTTACCTTCCTCATAGTACAGTGAAACATACTGTACTTCATGGCAATGGAAATGCCTTCTAGATTAAAAACCTTTGGAAAAAGCAAATGTTCAATAGCCTATTAGAAGTTCTCAGAATTCAACACTTGGATTTTTTTTTTTTCTAAAGCATGTGTGACACTTAAAGGCCTTAATAAAACAGCTGTTGTGTACCAATAGCAATCTGGGGCTTGGGAGGGGGTATCTTTTTATTTTTTATTTTTTAAGTCTATTTTTTGATGAAGACCTTTAAACATGCTTCATATGTTTTAACATCTTTTTTTTTTTTCAAATTAGTCTTTTAGTCAATATAGGAAATGGCTTAAGTTTGGGGTCCCCCTCTCTACCCCTGTAAGCCATTGCAAACTTTGACATTTAGTTGGATGCCTGACTTGTTTTTAGTTCTATGAAACTACACTGTATGGAGAAAATCTATTGCAAGTGGTCTTTAAAGCAAAACCTGAGGCAGCATGACCCAGGTCCAGCCATGAAGTTGAAAAAGATGCTCTTGAATATAGTAAACTTGAAGACCTCCAACTAAAAATCCTTATACTACACTTATTCCTTCAAATAAGTTTTGTCCGTTCAACTTATGGATTTAACGTGGCAGTGCACCATTGGAACAGAATGAGAATCCATAAGCCATGCAACTTAACCATTTAAGCCATTCCAGTCCATTCCAAGCCAGTGACTCTTCCACCACTTAAGAAAAGTAGTAGAACATGAAATACATTAAGCTGCAAGTCTGAACTTGCCTTTTCTTTCTGGAAAAGAGGGCAGTAAATAGGCAAGTTTTTAGGAACTTTCCTTAAGAGAGATAACTAGTTTTCATCTATCTAATTTTTGCAGGTTGAGGATTTATGGTCAGTATGGTCATGGAGTGCTGATGTATTCATAGCAGATAAAGCTGACAGCAAGAGAAATCAAATGCTAAGGTGAGTTTTAAAAGCAACCTTTAAAAGTTTACTCTACCTTTACCACTCTATGATGGCAGTTTTAATTTCTGATCCTCACTTGATCTGTAAAAGGATAATACCCGATTTCTGGAAAGGAGGATGTGATATTTAGAGCCTCACTAGGCATATACATTTAGAAGGTAGAGTAACTTAGGTACTGTTTTCCATCGGTGGGGCCCATTGAGCCAATCAAGTTCGGCAATGTTTCTTCATATGCAGGCGTTCTTGACAGGAGCTCTGGTTAACGTTTCGCTTTGTGTGTAAACTTGATCACATGCATTTCACAAAAGGACAAATTTTTCAGTTACCCATTGCCTGTTGATTTGCATAGCCACAATACAAATTGACTAAAGTGGAGAGCTATTCCTAGTTTGAGTAACAACATTTTATCAGTGTAATGATGGCAATTTTATTGAACTGATGCTTACAGTAATTTTAATGAGTATTGATGACTGCCTTTGGAGCTTAACCAGTTAATTCTTTCACACATCTTTAGTTGCTTTTTCAGCTAGGGAGCTGAGTGCTTTGTCCTGTTACACCATTAGCTTGAACTCATGCTTTTTATTTTACAGAGTTGTTGAAGCAGAAGAACGCTGATTGTCGATAAGTCACAACAGTCGCATAAGCAGTGCCCATCACATCACAGTTGGTTTGGTGCAGGCAATAGATTTTGCCTTCTAGGGTTCTTGTGGATCTGAAGAAGGCATCAGTGTTAACACTCTTAACTAGGGCATGGTAGTTACTTAAAATAAGTAATTGGCCAAGTGGAGAAAGGGAAACAGTTAAGGAAATTGGTAAGTGGAGAGGCAGTCAGGAAGTTCTTGTACTTGATGTAGATTTTACAGCTTTGGCTTTCATTTTCTTAAAGTCATGGGAGGCAAGTCTGCAATTTAGAACTTAACACTGAATATCAGAAAGCTGAATTAGAAAAATGATAGGCATAAAGCAAGTGAAACATTTTTTTGGTGTTAGCTTATCCAAAAGCAGCATTTAGTTGTTAAAAACTAACATTCAGAAAGATAGAACTGGCAACAGTGCTGAGATTATCTCATGCACACTTGAAACTGGAAACAATTGAGCTTGGCTTTTTACTGTGTTGTTTCATAAGCCTACTTTACCCCAGCTCCCAGTCATGGAAATAAATCATGACACAACTTTGTTAGTTTATTGCTTTGGAGGTTATAACCAACGATATAATTACTAATGTTCTCATGAGGGAACAAATTTGAGTTGGTGGGTTAGAGGAGCCAACTCGACTTCTGAATTGTTTTTGGCATAGTAGTTACAGCACTACTATCAGGTTTAGCACTTACAAAAAATTGTAGAAAAATAATTCCAAAACTTTAACCCTCATCTGACACGCTTTCTAATCACAGGCCATGGGGACATGACTAAATTTAAATAGTTGCCCTTACATAGCTATCTTAGCTCAATCCTTCCCTAACCTGATTACTTAATACTTTTGAGAGGACTGTTTGGTTCTCAGGATTTTTAGATTCATGAAAATAGTGTAGAATATAGAGATTAATTGTAGATATCAGTACTAACTTCATAACTTAAGGAGTATGTTTATAAGTGACTAGACAGACACACCTGTTTGACAAATCAACCCAGCAGGTTTGATTCTCTCACTGGAAAAAACCTGGTATTGGTTCTTCTGGTTGTATACTGTTTGTAAAAAAAAAAAAAATGGAATGATAAAAATGTTTTCCTTGTTTAACTGGTAGTTGCAAATAAATCATAGGTATTCATAGATCACTTTTTGGAATGTTTTGTATTGAAACAATAAAATTTTAACCTGCATCTTTGTGGCAATGGGTTCATTATTTTCTCAAATTTTTTTCCCAAGTCCCCTCTTGCCCCAAACAATTCTGATGCGCTGATGACACTTGATTTTTTGCAGGAGGGACATATAAGGTAACTAAGGTGCTCTGCCCTTGGTGACTAGGTGGTAATTCAGGTGGTCTCATTTAATTCTCCCCTTAAAAAGGGAAGCAATTGCACTTAAACTAGTGGCTTAAGCACCAGTAATGTACCAGAGCATCTATTTTTCTGCTTAGTTCTTGGGGAAAATTGAGGCCCACTTCAGACAGAATCTTATTAAAGATGCTGTTCCTCTGAGAGCATATGATATTGTGCTTCTGTTATTTTTTGTGCCTTACCTACTGTAATGGATCATTGGTGCCAAAAATGCAGCTGGGGATTAAGATGGCAGAGAAAGCTTCAAAAAGTTCATGGGGAAATGGAATTATTAATGCAAAATTTTCTGTGACCATTTTGAAGCCCCCTTATTCTAAAAAGTCAGCTCTATACCAGTAGTTCCAGGAAAATCTCAATGTATTCATCCCATCCATTTTTTTGTGCATATCAACATATTAAACTGATGTCAAAGAGCCCCAATATTTATGGATTCATAACACTTAGATAGTGTTCGAATACTAAATATAAAATACTGTAAGAAAAGCGTGACTATCAGGATAGAGAATGTTGCTATCAGTCACTTGTGGGCTGCCTCAGGTTTTTTTTTTTTTTCCCCTTGATTAGCTTTGCCCATAAAACAAAATAGATGGCATTCTAATCTTGTGTAAGTCTAATTCAGGAAGATACTTTGAGGATTTAACGAGAGATTTATAAATAGTATGGCAAGATGGAAACCTGGTCCTTATTCTAGTTTTTGGCTGTTGAAAGTTGCCACTGATGCTCTTACAACATCTTTGTAATTAGTGACAAATGCTGCTTAGGTTATTCCACGGCCTTCATTAATTCTAGGTGCTTAATTAGGCTTTCTGGTTCATGTGGTATGGCTTGAGTTTAGACAAACAGTGATGAGTAGTGCTTTCATTTTTAAAAACAATTTACAATGAAATGCAAGGACCACAAGTGTACAGATTGATGTCTTAGAAAAATGCTTAGAACAGGATAGCCTATCCCTCCAGAAAGTTCCTGTGTCCCTTCTAAGTAGCTTACTCTCCAGCCAGAGTTGCAGCCTATGTTGATATACTTCAGCTTCTGTTGTTTCTCTTGAATTCTGGTGTGTGAACCGTCTATTCTATTGATGGGCTGTTTATAGGTTTGGCTATATGAATAATGCTACCATGAATACTTCTGTGCAAATCTTAGAGGTGTATATTTCTTTTGAGTAAATATTTTGGGGTGGAATTGACATGGTTGTGTGGAAGGATAGTAGATATGTTTGTGTTTATGTTTAGTTTTTAAGAAATTGCCAAGTAGTTTCTCCAAAGTGGTTCTACCATTTTATGTCCTTATCAGCAATTTATGAGAATTTTGCTTGCTCCACAGTATCCTTCTCAGCATTTGCTGATTTTGATGTGCTTCATTTTGACTGTTCTAGTGGGTGGGATAGAATATTGTGATTTTAATTTGCATTTCCCTGATGACTAAGGATGCTTAACACTTCCTTTAAGATAAACTTTATTTTAGGAGAATTTTAAATTTTTAGAAGAGTTGCAGTAGTTTCCATGTATGCATCATTCTGTTTCTCCTAATTTTAGTATATTATATAACTGGTATATTTGTCAAAACTAAGGTTAACATTGGTATGTTACTATTAACTAAACTCCAGACTTTATGCACATTTCATAAGTTTCCTACTGCTGCTTTTGTGTTCCAGGGTTCAGTCTAATGCATTGCATTGCCTCCTGGGCTATTTGGCATGTGCTTTTTAGCCATTTATGGGGTTGCCTGTTTTATAAACATTACAGAATTTTTTAATGTACTCTGGATACAAGTTGTCAGATAGATGTGTTGTAAATATCTTCCCTTAGTACCTTACCTATTACTTTTCTTCATAAGCAAATCATCAAAAATTTCAATGGTTCTTATTTTGTGCAGCCTTTCGAAACTACCTATTTGCCATGGTTTTCCCATCTTGTACAACCTTTGCAGTTCCAACTTTTATGTTAGGGCTGTAATGTGTTTTGAATAAATCTGACGGTGTGAGGTAGGAGTTGGAATTCACTTTTTCAAATATGGATACTCATCTGTTTCATATTGGAGTGTCTGGGTTTGAATCCCAGCCATAGCTTCTGATTCCAGCTACCTGCTTATAGAGGAATCTGGGAGGCAGTGCTGATGGCTTAAGTGATTTGGGTTCCTGTCACCCACCTGGGAGACATGGCTTAAATTCCCATTTTTTCCCCTTAGTTTTTATTTTTTTTTCTCCTCAAAGTTAATACTACCTTTTTTTTTTCTTTTAAATGTTTGATTTTGTTTTTCATCTGCTTAGAAGAGGAGTGACCCAGAGAAATCAGGTCTTCCATCTTCTGATTCACAATAGCCAGGGCTGGGCCAGGCTGAAGCCTAGAACCCAGAACTCCATCTAGGTCTCCCACATGGGTGGCAGAGGCCCAAGCACTTGGGTCATCATCTACTGCCTCCCAGGAACATTAGTAGGAAGCTGGATTAGATGTGCAGTGTGGCTTGAACCTGAACCAGCACTCTGGTAAGGGATTTAGGGTTCCAAGTGATGACTTAACCTGGTACACTATAACACCTGCTCTGCCACTAGTGTTTCTACTTGTTAATAAGAACTTTGCTGAAATTACTGGAACTTTGTGACTCTGCTTACAAGAGTGGGGGATTAACATGTTTGTATGCTGACTTTAAGCTTCACTGTGAATGCAGTTTGTAGGAGAGCCCCTGATGTCAATTTCTTTAGCTTTTTCCTCGGGCTAATCAGATTCCATGAAGAAACCTTGGCAAAATTCTTGCCTTGAGGATATAGGACACATTTTAGTGGCTCAAATGATAGGATTATGGTTTCTAGGTGGCCTGTATGCCTGTATGTGTAATATGCTCTTCAATTCAACAGGGCTCCACTTGTTTCAGTGTGACCCTCCAGCGTGCTTGGCAGTGCTGTTCTCTACCTTGCTATTGTGAGGAGCTGGGGAATGATTTCAAAGCATTGTTAGGAGAGGCAGAGAGAAAGCACAATTAGAAATTTCTTCTCAAACCTGTACTCTGTCCATAGTGTGCAGCCACTTCCATTTTAGGCTGTCCCCTCCTAAACTCTAGACTTTACCCTCTCTTGTTTGAGGATGTTTCTCAGTGCTACAGAAACATGAGTTCAAATCTGAGTTTCAGCATTATCAGCTTTGTGACTTAAGGCGAGTTACTTAACCTCTCTGCACTTGTGTTCTTATCTGTCTAGTGTGAATAGTAGCGGTTATCTTTAGGCATCAACTAGGAAGATTGACTTAACAGTGCCTGACATGTGCTAAGATTGCAAGACCACAAAAAGGTAAACTATTTTTTAAAAATAGTAATGAACTACACATTTGTGCTATGGGTTAATCAGTAATGAGACAGTTCATAAAGAAAAGGATGAGATACAGAACACCATGTCATTTGTATAAACTAAACACATGCATATAAAGCATCAAAACATTTAATTAAAAAATCAAAAAGGATATACATTGAAGGCATTAAAACGGTTGCCAGTTTGTGTGGAGAGGGGCAAATGAATAGGGATACAGTGAAAATGAGGCTTCTGTGTGAACTAATCACAACAGTGCACCAAAAAAATTGAGTCTGACTCAGGAGAAAAAGGAAGAAACTTGGCTCAGAATAAGAACGTTCAGTCCTTGACAAGATGCTGATCTAACAACATAAGGTACTGGCTTGCTTCCCCAGTTCCAGCCCTGAAGATGACACACAGAGGAAATTTAACAGATAATAACAAAGTCTAATACACTCATGCAGGGCTTAGCACATGTCAGGCACTGTTAAGTCAATCTTCCTAGTTGATGCCTAAAGATAACCGCTACTATTCACACTAGACAGGGGTCAGGAACTCTTAACCAGGTCTCCCACATGGATGATAGGGACCTAAGTACTTGACATCATCTGCTGCTTTTCCAGGCATGTTAGCAGTTAGGTAGATGGGAAGTGGAACAGCTGGGACTTGAATCAGCACTTAGAGGTTGCCAGTGTTGCAGGTGGTGGTTTACCTTGCTGTGCCACCACACTGTCCCCTCATTCTATTTTTCCAATTTTATCTGTTGATGCTGCTCTCATGATTTTCTGTATGTACTGTTTCAGTAACATTTTGAACTTTATCAGGAGAGAGAAACCAAACAGTATTTTGAGCAGGGAAGATTCGGCATAACAAATTATTTTGGGGGCAACATCCCATATTGGAGTATTTGTTCAAATCCTGGCTACCTTGCTTCTGATCTAGCTTCCCGCTAATGTGCCTGGGTGGCAACATTTGATGGCCCAAGTACTTGAGTCTGCCACTCACATGGGAGACAGATGGAGTGCCTGGCTCCTGGCTGCTGCATCACCCAGCCCTGGCCACTGCAGGCGTGCAGGGAGTGGATGGAACCAGTGGATGGAAGATCTCTGTCTCTCTTTCTCTGTCACATTGTCTTTCAAATAATTATTTAAAAATATTTAATTGGTAAGAGTAAAAGGGAAGAAAACGGGGGACAAGCAATTGGAGCGGTGGTTAAACTGCCCCTTTTATTGTCCACATCCCATATTTGCCTGAATTCAAGTCCTGGTTCTGCTTTCAAACCAGCTTCTTGCCAGTGTGCACCTTGAGAACAGGTGATGACTCAAGTACTTGCATCTGTGACACCCATGTGGGACAAGCAATTGGAGCAGTGGTTAAACTACCCCTTTTGATGTCCACATCCCATGTTAGAGTGCCTGAATTCAAGTCTTGGTTCTGCTTTCAAACCAGCTTCTTGCTAATGTGCACCTTGAGAACAGGTGATGACTCAAGTACTTGCATCCGTGACACCCATGTGGGAGACCTGGATTGAATTCCCAGCTTCTAG